TTTTTTTTTTTTTTTTTTTTTTGTTTATTTTATTTTGTATATAATTAAATTTTAATTTATTTCCTGAGTGAAAGTAACGAGTTTGATCTATTATTCTGGTATTATTATGGAAATCTGCTAATGAATTAACGAGAATGAAGGTGTTGTTGGTGACTGTGGTGGCTGGTAAGTTGTGGGCTTTAAACATTGGCTGATGACGAATCAGTGAAGATGAAATCAATCGATGGATTGGCGCTTAATTGCTGCTGCTTTGTGACAACGACGACGATGATGTTGTTGTTGCTGTCACGCGCGTCCGCGACCGCGTCACAACCAAACAAATAGATGTTTAAGAAATATCTGCTCCTCCGGTGTACTTCGTTTACACTCACTTTCGCACACCTGCTCAGGACTAACTGTAGTTACATACATATGATATGCTTGCTGATTTTCCTTGACGCAATACACAATTAATTCTTTACACAGCAATTTGTATAAATTTAGCTTATAAGTTTCTTTGTATACACCCGTTGAGTTGTTGTTGTTGATATTGTTATTTTGTGCTTAAGTGCTTCGATTACAAAATGTTGTAACACTCAAGACTGTAGGTGCTGGAATCGCTGAACACGTCGTCGAAGACAACAACAACAACAACATCATCATCATCATCATTCACAACAACAGATGACAATTTTTAACGCCGAATGATTAATGTACGTATTTATAGCTTATTAATATTTTTTTTGTTTAAATAAAATTTCGTTATTTTTAAATTTGAAATTTTTGGTTAAAAACAATAATAATAATAAGTACAAAATTCAATTATTTAACGTACGAAAACAGAAAACGTAAGCAAATTATAGTTTAAAAAGACAACACCAAGTAATACTCTCTTCAACAACTACAACTGCAACAACAGCAACGTGCAAAAATTAACCCTTTGAGTTCGATTTTTTGTTAAATTAAATGTACATAAGTACTCTTATTATATTTTGGAGAATATACATACATATATATATATATATATATATATATTGTTTTTAAATCACATTTGTCTGCGTGACGTAATGCCTCGCCTCTGCATTATTAACCCCTTTTACTCTGCGCTCCTCTTCTTGTATTTTATTTCCTTATATTATTGTTATTATTTATGCCCTTTAATTGTTCTCTACAGCACTGCATAGTAGCATTTCAAACTATACGAGCATGTTCTTTCTTCCTTGAAATCAATTTTGAAATATTTCAGTTGGCTAATCCACTCACTGTGCTTTCTTTTTTCGACACGTATCAAATATTTTTGTAGTGCTACTGATAAGGATAAAAAAGAAATAACGCTTTCTATTGCATTTTGTGATTCTCCTAAAAATATATGAGCTGGTTCATCGCCATCGTTGTTGTCATCTGCCAGAGCTGCCACCTCCGCTCGCTAACAGTGATTTGTATTTAGAAAGCAGTGCTTTGAAAATTAACCTACCTTCTATGCCTCCTTTGCTTCGTAAACAAAGCGAGTAATGTCTGGTATATAACTAGTCTCAAACATTGTGACTTATACATGGGTATATTTAACATATGTTATAAGAACAGATAATGAAATACATATAAACAAAAAATTAAAAAGAAAATTCCCTCCGACAAGAGTGGGCCCGTCCACTTGTCTTTGATAGTAAGAGTATTTAGATAATTAACCATGATAATTTATGGACAAAAGCACAGGTTAAGTGTCAGTAAGTAAAGGTGCATAACAAATGATTAATAATTAATTGATAGCATTGGTTAGTAAACATTGAATATATTAAGAGTTCACTCAAGTATATAAATGTATTATCTTCTCATAAATAGCAGCTCAGGCCTGTTAAAAGGTGACAGCACAATATTTCCCAATTTTTGAAAGTTTCACTTTTTATGGTAGCTTGTTCGGAGTCATGAATATCATAATCTAATATGTACATTAGTGTATGAAATCGTTGTATTTATATATGTAGGTATGTACGTTTGTGCATAATTCTATTCACTAAAATATATTTACAATTTAAATGTTTATGTACATATGCATGTACATATACAAACACGTACATATATGTTTATAGAAAAACAAAATGAGAATTTTGGTAAGATCGCCAAGCATTGCTTATTGCATTATATTCTCTTAAGCAAGAATTTATGGAAATAAAATGAATAAAGTAATTATTATTTTCGTTCATCATATAGTGATTATTTAATAAAGTAAAATTTATTTAAAAAATTAAATTTTTCACTTTTCCATTTTTATCTTTTTCTACATAAAGAGCTGCTCATATGTCGGAACTGCCGATCCTGCCAAACAAACTCAACGTTCAAAATAAAGCTGTTATATGGAAAACTATTTTAATTGACGATATACATATCTTCACGAAATGCATGACATGGATTATTATCCATGGCAACGAAAAGTCTCCGAATAAAAGTTCAGTTTGGACCTCTATAGCATATAGCTGTTATACAAAATGACCGATCAAAATCAAATTCTTGTATGGCATTTTTTTTTTAGTTGTGAAGGGAATTATAGCTTTGGGGCAACCGAAGGTTTTTTTTTCGTGTAACTGAATATAGAAACATTTATTCCAATTTCGCATATGTGAGCGGTGGCAATTTAACAAGCACTTAGCAGCCAAACTCTCATTTTGTAACCGCAACCATAATAAACAAATAAATTTATGTTTGCACTTTCGCATTCTACATACTCGGAACATATGTATGTACATACATATACACGATTTATAAAAAAGTTCAAACAATTTAGCTACGTATCAAAGGCTAAAAATAAGTCGCTGTACATCGTTTATATATGTAATTGTTGTTATTATGATTGTAGTAGCCAATTTACAAAAACAAATAAAACTAAGGCCAATTCATATTTATCAAGCTGATTATTATGTTTTGTAAAAATGCAGCACATTTTGTTTAGTGCGCATTTATCATATCCTTTGTTTCTGGCTTGTTTTGAATATTTGTTTTTAGTATTGAATTTTGTATTCCATCAAAAACTCTGAAGAAAAACTCACCTTCAACAGCTTCCTCAGAATCCTCTGTGGCTAGTTCTTCGTCCTCTTCCTCTTCTTCAACGATATCGTCGTCGTCTTCCTCCTCTTCGTCGTCGATATCGTCGTCTTCGTCGTCGACGTCTTCTTCTTCTTCCTCGTCTTCGTCGTCGTCGCCGTCGCCACGTATAACAACGTCACCTTCAGCTAAAATCGAATCGTCCTCTAGATCAACCGCCTCGTTATCGTCGTCGTAGGTATCAACGTTATCGTCAGAGTTTTCGTTCTCCTCTACTTCGCCGGTGCTAATGGCACCAAGAGCAAATACACCCTCGTCGTTTGAAACGTTCCCGCTGTTTAAATTTGTATTCGATGCGTTTGAAGCGTTGCTTGCGGTAGACGAATTGCCAATACCAGTGTTTGTTTCGTTTACAAACGAAATCAGCTGATGATAGTTGCGTAAACTCTTACGATATTTACAATATCTGTCGACGTTAGGTAAAGCACCAGTAACGGTCGTTGTTCGACTACTCGACGGTCCTGCTCCTTCTGCGTTACTAGCTACAGCTGTGGCTGATGGTGCGGCGCTCTGATTTTGTAGAGAATTTGTGTTTGTTGTGTCTACGGTTCCACTTGTTGATGGTGACTTCGTATTTAATTTTATTCGACTGCCTACAACTGATAAGAAAGTGCGAGTGTTGTGCTGTTGATTTTGTTGTTGCCTCTTATCACCACTACTACATTCACTTTTACGAGAGCCAGACGACGTTGCTGTTGTGGTATTGGCGCTACTGTTTTGAAGACTTTTACTTTGCCTTGAATTTGTTCGGCTGTTCTTTCCCTCGGCGGTTGTGTTGAGCTTACGATTTTTTTTCTCTTGGTGTTGCTGGTTGTTATCGCTGCTATTATCGGCACTGTCGTCTGCGAAGTGTGCTGTTCCTCGTTTGATGGGCGCTGCAGTACGACTGTGACTGATTTTACGTGTTTTTCGAAAATAATTTAGTAAGTTACTTTTTGAATGGTCGGTGCTGGTGCTACTGCCACCGCTGCTACTGCTCACACTAAAGGTGCTCTGTTGCGTTCCTGTTGCTGTTGTTGCTGTAGACACTGACTCAATGTGTTGACTGCTTATATGATTACTTTTGTTAAAGACAATTTCGCTATTTTTACCCCCACTGCGACGTGTATGCTTCTTTGCCGATACAAGTGGAAATGAATGTCTATTGCTTCGATTGCTAGTGGTACTAACAAGCTTCTGTGCGTCTTCTGTGGTAAGTGTCTTAGAGCGAGTGCGCTGTGCAACACAATCGCCCGAATTAAAACCAGGTCCTAAGTCCTCTGTTGATGTAGCTGGCGCTATAGAGTTTTTGTTTTGCGCAGTTGTTGTTGTTGATGTGCTAGCAGATATGTTAGTAGTATGATAACGGCGCTTCTTAAGTGGTGAACTTGAATCTGCCGAACGATTCGTAATCGGGGTTATTTTCAAATAATTCCAAAATTAAATTAAAACACCAAAAAAAATGTGTTAGTTTAAATAGTAGCCCTAGAAGGTTTGACAATTGTGAATTGATAATGTGCTCAAATGGCAACTACTGTTATAAAAATGCTTGTTAGTCAAAAGTTTTCTTTAGATCTTACATCTTAATTATACCGACCTTGTTACTCTACCAGATTCTTCCGTGAAATAATATATTTACAATGTTACTACAATGTTAATACCTATCCCAATTGTCAAACCAACACAAGCCCCCATCTTACCGTTATTGCTCTTTTGTTGTAATGAAGATGTCGCTGTTGCCGCAACTGTTGTGGACTTCAGCTGTTGTTGATCGTGGTGGCGTTTGCGGTCACTTCGTGTAGCACTTATTGCACTGGAAGAAGCGGCTTCGACTCCAGCAGTACTGTTATTGATGGCTCCTCGTGATGACGATCGCTTTCCGGTAAAGCTGCTACTCTGACTGCTGTTATGCACTGCTCCAGTTATAGTTCCTGCTGCTGCTTTTGCTCGACTTTTGGTGGAAATGCGTTTATTTGAACTACTCACACTAGATGTAGTTTTATTTTTTAAATGTTGTTGCGCTATTGTAGTAGCGATATCACTGCCACTACCACTTCCGGCACTACTGGTTGTAAGTTGCTGTTGTTGTTTGTTATTTTTATTGGCGAATTGTTGTAATTTGATTTGTTTACGACGATTATATTCTGTTTGTTGTGTTGAACGTTGCTTTTGCTTCAGTTGTCTGCTACGACGTGCTTTAGTTGCGGTTGTTATTGTTGCTGGCGCCGTGGTAGCTACGGTGGTACTGTCGTCGTGCCCCTCCGTCACTGCAGAGAGCGATTGACTGTTAACGGATTCGGCCATAGACGACACTTAACCGCACTTTCGATCACACTAAACATGCCCTCGCAACACTTGTGTCCTTTTTCGTGTTATAGCCAATTTGATTTCTTTACACGATATTAAAGCAAAATATAAAAATAAAAATAAATTACGTTTTGCACTTTGGAACTGTGGCTGTAATGCTTGTTTATTATGCTTCGCTTATATATTAAAATATATTTTCTAGTCGATTATTATTAAGCACCAACGGGATATATTCACTATACCAAGTCACAGGACACTATTTAAGATATTATTGAAGTTTTATTTTGATTTCACTATGTTTGCTGTCACTTTCTCTCCACTGCTCACTGCTGTGTGTTTTTACTGATCAGCCGCTTCGGAGAAACTGCAAATTGTAGAAATTTCTATAATTAATGTGGTGAATTCAATAATTTTCTGTTGAAATTCAAATGCATCTATTTTAAATACACAAATAATTTAATCAAAATATTAAAATTTTCATAAATAAAAAAAATGAAGAAAATCTCATGTCAATATTTTTGATTGAAAAAACATTGAGAACATACACTTACAACTAAGAAATATGTATATTTGATATATTTAAAAATGCTTATTCGACCAAGAACTATTTAACTCCACAACACGAAAATCAATTTGGAAACCTTTATTAATGCTTTAATCCTAAATAATTTCAGATTTCTTCGCCCATGATGATTAATTTTATAATAAATCATAATTTTTTTTTTTAATTCATATGTTATAATTTATGGTTTATTATAATTTAATAATATGTAATCAATATTACGTGATTTTTACAGTAAAACTTATAATGATTGCAGTCTGTGGTTGCAAGTATTTTCATACCTGTCTTATGAACATTTTGTATTAGTTTTCAAAACTTAAAAGCGTTTTCCCCATAACTTACGCAATTTTTAATATTTCTCCTTGATAATTTAACAAAATATTCTTCAAGATATCTTAATGTATTATCCTATCGTAATACAATTTGGAGAAATTTTCGCTTTTCCATTGATCTCATCGTACAATGGTACATTATTTTAATAAAACTAACCACCAAAAATGATCATTTAACTACTTGGTGAGGAAATTGTATACGGATAAAATCTCGAATTCAGTATGTGAGTAAATGAGTTAAATCAATAACGCCTATCGGAATAAGTTTTGTTTTAAACTTGATTAAGATGTTGATATAATACTTGACGTGTTTTCTGGTATAATATATACCTCTACTTAAATTTCGGTTCATAACAGCTTCAAAATAATTAAATTAAAACAAGTAAGGAAGCCTAATTTCGTGTGCAACCGAACATATTATACTCTTACAACTTGCAAGAATCAAAGCCAGATAAATACTTTAAGATGTAAAACGTCAATCAAAGTATCGGAATCTAAGAAATTTTATATATACATACATACATATGTATGTACATATACTCTATATATGCATGTAACCCATACACTGGCCGACAAATTCGGCAGAAGATTTGTTAGGAAAACGAAGGTCATTTATTTGTAGTATATGGGAGTTGGTTTAGTATCGACCCGATATTATCCATTAACTATTATCATTAAGGTAGTTCACATACAAACTGCCTGATTCGAACAATTTTTGACATACAAATACATACCATTGTCAGAGGATTTTCCCTGAATTTCAATTCTATATCTCACATTGACCGATATTTTTAGTCAGAAGTCAACTGTAGATACTCGGGTCCTCATATTCGGTACCTAGGGTCTTGAACAGTTTTGGTTGGATTTGGATAATTTTGGTCGAAAGGTGCCATACTTTAAGGTAATTATTTCTGCAAAAGGGTATTCCGTCACATTAATAACTTATTGATTTGTATAATGGAAAGTGAAAACGAAATTGGAATTTTATTTTCATTTAATTAAAATTTTTAATTTTACAATTTTGACACTGGCCTTCTCATACTATTTTGGAGGTAAAATTTAATGCCTCTGGCAAAGTTATGAATTTATTACGCTTTTACTAGTTTTTAACAGTACCGTTATACGGAGAGTGCGCGGGGTTATTTTCCGGTTTCCATTTTCATGTGCTGAACACAATGCTCGCGACAGACTGCAGCAACACGACAGTAAATTGAAAATGGCGTTGTGAATACTGTCAACTCTACTGTCGTTGGCAAATATAAGTCGTGTAGTCGTGCAGCTGTCAAAATAGGTTTGTCCATAAGAACGTGTGTATTTTAATATTTGACAGCTGCCGTTTGCAGTCTGTCGGGAGCATTGTGTTCAACATATCACACTGTCAGTAGTTCTTATAATATTCGAGCTTAGCAAATTTGGTTGTTGTAGCTTTAGTGATTTAGGAGATACATATGCACATTAAACATATTAGAGGGCGTAGCAACACCCACTTTTTTAAAAGGTGCCCCTTGCTGCTGCTTTAGTGCTTAGTTACATATGTATGTCACTTTATATGTTTTCGGTTAATGGCGATTTGTAGACGTGGCAGTGGTCCGATTACGCGCATCTACGAAACCGTAATTTTTTCTACTAAGGAACCTGCACACCAAGTTTTATCAAGATATCTCAATTTTTACTCAAGTTATAGCTTGCACGGACGGACGGTTGCAAGAGCATAAAAATTAAACCTTTTGATCTGAATAAAAAAGTATAAAGGAATCTTAAGCATAGCAGCAAATGCGTAGTACAGAACACGATTGTATACAATGTTCGCAGATAAGAGACAATGAAGCAATATAAAAACGTAGAGAAAACCAAACAATTAATGCAAAGCTACAATGAGGCCTCATCTTCAACAACAAACATATCGAGAATTCAGTACTTAAAATGCAAAGAATATTATTTAGCATAATAGTACTGTATGAGAAGGTACATAGGCATATACATACTCTCATATCATATACAAATAGAGCAAAAAAAATATGGGCGTATAGATACTACACGTATATACATATGTACATATGTATGTACATATCAATAGCGTTCGCCTGATAAGAAATACAAAACAAACACCTTTCACAGCTGTGATATGATAAGGAAGAATGGAGAATATACAAAGACTAAAATCTTTTTGACTTAATAATATTTAATAATAGGAAATTCCAATACCAATGACATGGTTGCTGGTTGAGAAAAAGCATTTTCTTACAACAAAGCTACCAGGTACATATGTATATAATATACATATATACGTACATACGTATATCTCATTAGCGAGGTCGGGGTTTAAATATAACCTCATAGTACAGCGATGTAGACAAGAGAGAACTGCATTTGCCCACTCAGCAAAGAAAAAAATATACAGGAGAGAAATAGACTTTGAGTGAGAACCAGAGTGTGTTGAGTAGGAATACAAAAATAAGTGTTTGAGCGCATACCTCGTGTTCGGCTACTCTACTCTCCCGAGTATCTACAGCTGGTTATATGACTATTTGTAGCATTTTTATAAAGCATTAAAAGCAAAAAAACAAAAAAACGCGCAACAAAAGAAAAATAGATAAAAACTAAGTAGGTACACTAGCTTACATACATACATATGCGCACAAGTGAAACGAAATCAGCTGTTTCAAGTTTGTTTATATTTTGTTTCTCGTTTTCTGCTTTACTTTTTGCTTTTTGATTTCGTCGCAAATGGCAAGTCGGCAGAAGGAACCAGTTTTACACAACAATAACAATAACACCATATTATATGCTTAGAGAACCGACCAGTATATAAGATGCGAGCGGATTTATGAGGTTTAATATACACGAGTACTTGCTTGGTTGTTGAGAGGTACAAATCGAAGTGCAAAATGTATATAAGAAACAGGCATACTCAACAAACTTATTGTCGAAATGTATAAATGTACATATGTATATATTTACAAATGTGTATATAGTACTGTTTGCTCATCTTTAAGAGGTTGAACGCTTAAAATTATATGACGTCAACATATTATTGTTAAACAAAATTAAAAAAATAATAAAAAATAAACACAAATTAGTTAGAAATCACGGCAAATTTAAGTATATAATAAAAATATATGTATGTGTGCATATAGAAATTAAAATTCAAACGTCAAATGTATATATATTAGTACGTATATATGTACTTAAATTCGTTATTTTATTTTTTTATTGCACAGTAAAACGAGTTTGGCGCATCATGTTTGCTATATGTATGTATATATGTATTTTATTTAGATTTGTATTTATTTAGGTACATTTTTAGGTAAAGGAAACGTTAAGCATTTTAAACCGAATTGTGCCCTTTTACCCACAGCCCGACGAATTGGTGTTATCTCCAACAAGTAGTCAGACGGGTAGACAACACTAGAACCGAGTGGTTCTGGTTAGGACCTACATAAGTCTGTATATTTGGCTATTCGTACATCAGAGGGCTGTCAATATACTTCGCTCTTGTTTATCTCAGAGCAAGTAAAAAAATAAAAAACAACGCTCTATATATACATATGTATGTATGTATGTGTGTCCGGGAAGACAAGTTACAAACTAAAATATTCAGTTCTTTCGCACTCGTTTCATGTTATATGTACTTTGATAGATAAATAGTTAATAAAGAATATGGACTGAACAGTATGGACATCAGGGAGCGATTATACACCTTGTCAAGAATGTAAACACACTGGTTGACAGATCGCGCTCATTTTTGGCATCATAATTAAGGAGAGTTATACCAACCTAGGAAAAAGGAAAAAAAAAATTTTCTTCCATATAAGCGGGAGATTTAAGTAGAGATACTTTCTTGACAGGGTGTATATTTCATACTCAGCTGCATATTTATTTAACCAGTTAACACTTTTATTGATTTAAATTTTAAAATGGTTCCTTTATGGTGGTTTAGCTTGGTGTAAAATGGGCAGAAATAAATCCTGTGAAAAAAGTATGAAAAGTATTAGTATTGATATGCGTAGGTACTGATTAGAAATCCAATTTTAAGATTACGCAATCGTTAAGGATCTCGACAACAATGGCTTTAAACGCTGTTCGATATTTTAAAATCCACA